GTTGTATTGTATGAAAATGTTGCTCTTCGAATAAGCGAATGATTGAAAAAATGACATATGTACTTGCCAACGTTTGTATTCTCCTTCGCAGACGTCACGTACCAAGCACCGATGTCATTCTCCTTACAAAATTTAGCAATTTGATCGACCGCAACAACTGGACAAGGTATGTCGCATTTATTTGCTAAAAGTACCACCGGTACATTTGACCCATCCGGTAGCGCGACCTTTTCCCTTAGATCGGTCAGCCATCTCTTCATCGATTGGAATGTCGCTATTCGTGAAATATCAAAAACTAATGCCGCGGCCACTCTAAAAATTATAATTACGTACAATACATTAATGACCTTTAGTGAATAATCAAATAAAAATTCATTTAAAAGAGATACCACAGCTTTTGTTAATATGTAATAGTACGTACGCGTATTTATAATAAACTCTAGTTATGTATCCGAATCTTTCATGGCCAGCGACGTCCCTAGAGAATGAAATAATAAAAATAATAAAATCTTTAAACTTCCATTGAATAAATTAATAATACCATAATTGTAAATTTATCTTCGTAAAGGGATCCCAATCAATCGTTTTTATAGCAAAATCGGCTCCTATAGTAATCTTGTAATTCGATGTGAATTTGCCTATGAATGGAAAAACAATTATCGCAATCCAAAAAAGCACACTTGTTTTATAACAATGAAGACAGTTTTCTATTACGATCCTTAATGAGACTCAATTATAAGAAGCATTATTATAACGTTTATAAGAGCATATACTGCTGCGTCAATAATTAATTAATAAATAAAATTGTTTATTNTTTGATTTATGAAACTGATAATTGGAAAAATTCATGGCAACGAGAAATCAAACGATACAGTATGAAAGCTATTACAAAGTTTTGATTAGGCAGGAATTGGAAACTATGTGAACGCACCAACACCGTAGTCGCCGATTACGAGGAATTTGAAGAGCAGCTCCTTGTGGCCAAACTTGGATGGCAGGACGTCTGAGTCCCTTCTTGGTTTCCTCGTATTCATTTCTTCCTCTATTCTTAGTCAGATTTGTTTTACAAACTCGAGGAAGCCACACAGGTTTCCTTTGGTGCCGCTACTTATTGATAGTTCGATTGGTAAACTGGCAAACGGAGAAAGACAAGAGGCTCGACCTCAGGGGTCGTACACTCGCCCCCCTCGCTCCACAATCATTCTCTTTGAACCACTATCACCTCTTACGATTGTCGTAAACACTCCGCCGTTCGAGCACCGCCGTTCAGTTTTCGACTATCAGGAAATCAGCTCAAGTAATCAATTATTAATTAATGCCTGATTCGATTGTTCCAAATTGTAGACTAAATCAATAAGAATCTACGTATATTTTATGACAGTTATTTTACAAGACTTTAACGCTTAACGCGGTTACAAAGTATTTAGAATTAGAATAATCCCTTGGATGCAAATGTGTCCGGGTTATTAACGTGGAGGATCGAGTAGCTGGAAGACACTGTTATTATTACAGCGTTTTTATTACAGCTTGGTAATGACCGTGGATAAATTTACATGTTGGAATGTTGAATTATTGAAATTCTGATATTAATTTGGTGGGAACACTATTATTAACTACACGCATTTTAGAATGGATAATTTATTTTGTGAAAAATTATTTTCAATCAGTACAAATGTGTCGTTTTAATTTTATAGACGTCCGTTTTCATGTATCTTCGTAACGTGACGATTAAGATGTTAACCAAGTCCTTGGATTGCGAATAGTCAACGTATCAATATCCTCAGATGTGAAGCCTTTCAGCATCATTTTCGGTACGACATTGTTCAAAATATGAGAATATCCATGCCCGCCAAATTTTATCTTTTTCAAAACAAGTTTCGAAAATGTGTAATTGTGTTCATAAAAAGTTTCATATGCTGCTTCATGCTATTCGTACTTATTTGGTGTTTAAAATACGTACCAATCTGTGTTTGGTATGAATGTCGTGACTCAAGAGTACGCGATCCAACTTCTGGTTATTTTGAAAATGTTTCAAGCGATCGATACGCTGCGCATCGGATATCATGTCCACGAATGGATTCAACTGATAGAACGAGCATTCAATACCGAACAAATCGAACTGACAGTAGCACTTCGCATCATCGGCGAACTCTAAAAGTTCTTCCAGGGAGAGTAAAGTTCCTGTCGATTTTTCCCATTTGAAGTTCAATAATAATTAACGAAATCACAATATAATATGTTTCATTTCCTTTTTTTAAGAAGCAAAATCATAGTAGCAATTGAATTGTTATCTGAATTAGAGTAAACGTACGATCAAGGTGCGACATAATCGCTTTTCTTGCCTGTCCTCCAGCTTCCTGATAAATCCTCATTATTTCAGAAGGTGCGACACGATTTCTCCCGGGATGAAAACTTACGGGACAGTTTAACTGTGCCTGAACCTCCGCGGTTGCTTCTATAGCCCGTCTTTCGAAAGCTATTTAAAAAAATTCGTACAATTTGTGAAGACATTAAAATATTAATTAAAA